GTACACATCCCCGGATCACATCAGTCGCAAAAACAGCATGCTCATCAGCTATGGAGACTCTCAAAGGTCGACTCAACGCCTCACGTCGGATACTGATGTGATGACTAAATGCTAGCGATACGAAGGATCGACTTGCACCTGAGTCAAACAACACCAAAACAGGTACATAACTCACAACAAAAGTACCTAAACATATCACAGATAAGCACCATATATAAACGAAAGAAAAAGCAAAAGATCACATACCAGCCACAACATCGGGTGTTGCGCGGACCTCCTCCGCTGTCAACTGGAAAGCTCTACCGCGAGCCTTCGGTGCCTCGGCCTTCACGGGCCGACTCTCTGTAGCTCGAGTAGAAGAAGGTGCAGATCCCTGCGCTGATCCCTGAAGCAACTGCGGGCACTCGGCCTTCCTATGGCCAGTCTGGTTGCAATGGAAGCAAACCGAAAATCCCTTGGGGAAATCCCTCGCGATATGCCCCTCCTTCCCACACTTGTAACACACACCTGCTCTGCACACCCCATCATGGCTCTTGCCGCACTTCCCACAAGTGCGGCCCTTCTGACCTCCCGATCTCGAATCAGCGGGCTTTTCCCGCTTGGCCGCCGGTTGGGACTGTGTCGGGCGCCTATCCCTCCTCTGAGACTCCGCCTCCTCCCTGACCTGAGTCTCTAGCTCAATCTCCCTCTTCCGAGCATTTTCCTGGAGCTCGGCAAATGTTCGGTATGTCGAGTTCGCCACGAACTCACGAATGTCTCTCCTCAGAATGCTCAGATATCGGCTCATACGTGCCTGCTCAGTAGACACGTGCTCAGGGCAAAACAACGCCCTCTCATGAAACATCCGTGTGATCACAGTCACAGACTCAGTCCCCTGCTTGAGGGACAAGAATTCCTGGGCCAACCGTTCCCTCTCCACTGGGGGAACGTACTCATCTCGAAACATAGCGGTGAACCTCTCCCAAGTCACCGCAGTAAGCTCTGCAGTAGTAAAGTCAGCTGTCACAAACTTCCACCAGTCCTTCGCTCCCAAGCGAAGCTGGTTCAGCGCGAACCATACCCTCAGATGCTCCGGACAAGAACATGTGTAGACGCATCCCTCAATGTCATAGATCCATCTCGTCGCGGCTATTGGATCCCGAGTCCCATCAAAATCTGGTGGCTTCGTGTTGCTGAACTCCCGGTACAGCAACGAGTCACCCCCCTGTAGCCTAGCATCGGCGACGGCTGCGGTGGCTGCAGCAACAGCAGCCTCGGTAAGAGTAGCATATCGCTCGTCAAATGTCTCAATCAGTGTGGTCTTGATAGACCCAAACATCTCTGGTATCTCAGCTCGAATGGCTGCGGCCACCTCCTCGTGAATCAACCTACGAATCTCCTCATCACTGGTACCGTTGGTACCACTGTCTCCTGCGTTGTGGCGCGTAACCACCATGATGCCTCTGAAACACAACATAAAATAATCAGAGACTCGACCGAGATTACTCATACTCGACCAACCGTTCCTACTTGTTCCTTAGCACCCTGAGGGTTCTTACTTGGAATGCTTACCGATCCGATGCTTTTAGTAGTACGGGCCCAATACCACCTTCCACATCGTATCCGTATCCACCCCAAGTCCTCCTCCTAGGATCCCAACTCGCAAGTACTCTATACCATTCTGAACACAACCTACTCTCTAGCAGACTTCTCATAAGCTACTCTCTGCTACCTAAGTGCACTCAAAGCCACTCACAGCAGCAGAAACTCCTAGGCTAAGGCATCACAAATCAGGCCACTCTAGTCCTAACATATGAATTACCTAGCCTACTCTAGCAATGAAAACACATATCATAATATCATAACACGTAACGTAAGGGTATTTTGGGAAATCACCGTTCGGGCGCTGGCTGATTGTACACACTGCTCTTTTCCGCTCGTTCTGGAAATCTTTTACTCTTTTTAGAAAAATTGTTTCATTTTGAAAACTTTCCTCAAATCCTCAGTTTGAGTCCAGATATGCCCGAAGGTGTATCCGAATCCCTCAAACCAAGGCTCTGATACCAACTTGTAACGACAAGATTTTTCAAAACAAAATTTTCAATTTTAAACTCATAAAACACATGTCTCATCATTAATTCTCAAAAACAACCGACAAGTTTTCAATACAATTATTTAAATCCAGTATCCACAATCATAGTTCCATATCAAGAGTGTGTGTACAATCACGTCGGAGCCTTCCCGCGATCCTCGGAAGTACCTGAAACACATAACACATAACACGGTAAGCACGAATGCTTAGTGAGTTCCCCAAAATACCGCATACAACAATTCGCCACTCGAGGCTATACTCTGTAAGACCCTCCGGTTTATGTGTCTCAGCGGGACCCTCCAGTCCCGTAGCTCGTTGGACTCTCTGGTCCGGTCTAGCTCGTTGGACCCTCCGGTCCGGTCTGATTGAGAACCCTCTGGCCTCATAGTTCGTTGGACCCTCCGGTCCGGTCTAAGCAACAAACAATATAGCATACAATACATATCTCACAATCATGCATATCTCAAGCAAGTACATAAGACCCTCTGGTCACACATAATTACCACTCTAGGTAAAATATAGTGAGAAGACTCACCTCGTAAGATAGCTAGTAAAAATCTTGTGCCTGAAATCCTCGGTCTAGCCTCCGCCTATCACAATTAATATTTCTAATTAATATTCTACTCTTATCTCTGAAAAGTGGGTAGACGACCATTCTACCCTTCCCTGACCTCTTTCACTCATTTTGACCAAGCCCTAAAGTCAACAGAAGTCAACTCCAGTCAATGGTCCAACTTTGACCAGACTCATCGAGTGCACTCGGGAGACTCGTCGAGTGCACTCGGGAGACTCGTCGAGTCCAGTCGATTCATGGCAACCCCGGCAAGCTCCAACTCGACGAGCTAACCCCTAACTCGACGGGTCACCATCTGACTCAGTTCATCGGGACAAAACCCTAACCGGCTCGTCGAGTCGGCTCATCAACTCGGCGAGTCCGTTCGGTCTCAACTTGTATTCAGGTGATTTCCAGGCAGAAAACTCTCTCACACCCTAGATCTAAGCTCTCAAGGCCTGAATATCACGTAAAGCCTCGAGCTTTACGTTCATGCATAGCATTAAGGGCTAAAAATGCCAAGAACAAGCTTGAGAAGAAGTCTCTCATTCAAAGGGCTAACATGGCTGAATAAAGCAGGGGACTTTCGACTCTAAGGACCTCACAAGGTCCAGATCTGATGTCTATTTCTATGAAGGTGCTCAAAACCTTCAAGGTCCCCAAAATAAGATGGAAATGGAGCCCTAACTCTAAAACCATGAGATCTAGCCATACAAGAGAGAAAGGTATGAACTTTATACCTTGAATAGAAGCTCCTGGATGTCTAAGTAGCAGATCTAGCAACTTCTTCACAATCCTTGCTTGGAATCCTCTTTCTCCCTACCAACATGCACCAAAGATCTCAAACAATGGCTCAAAACTCTCTCTAAAGCTCAAGGGGGCGATTAGGGTTTCTCTCAGTGAAAGGAAACAGATGGAGAGCCGCAAATGAGGCTATACTTATCCTTATATAGGCCCCAAACCCGGGGATTTAGGGTTTCAACTCACAGCGCCTACTCGGCGAGTCTACATCCGGACTCGTCGAGTAGATCATTAAACCCACGTGGCCATCCCGACTCTACTCGGCGAGTTATAGCGCCAAGTCGTCGAGTAGGTCAATGATCCTCAAAAATAAATACTTAAAATGACATACCTGGGAATCCGGATGTTACACATTATCACTTGTTTCTCTACATGGCTTCCTTAAGATCTTAATGAAATTTGTAACTCATTTTGATTTAGAGTTAAATCAAATAAATGTCAAGTGTTTTTTTAAAAAGGAATTCAAAGATTGGATATGAAAACTCGTGCACTCACCAACGTTATGTTGACTTTCAAAATGCATGTATTCTCAGGTTAATAGGATTGGCGCTTTTTATACCGTCACACTGCTCGGTGTTTCCGCCAAAGGCCGGACAGGGGTGTGACAGAGATAGTATCAGAGCATAGGTTTAGCTATAGCGAATTAGTATTTCCCCAAGAATAGCGACTTAGTATTTCTTTAGGAATTACGACTATAGCTTTGGTCGAATACTCCGATTAAGGTTTGTCCTCAAACCGATAACTAAAACTTTTATACCATAAAATTTCCTACTAATAGATTATGTATTGGAGAGGTGACTAGGCTAGAACTGTCGCATTGGGTTGCTAGATTTCAGAACAACTATATGCCAAAATGGTCCTGCCCACCGACTTATCATACATGGCCGATCCATACATAGTCTAGAAGTATAAAACAAATAATGAACCGTCCACTACTAGAAAAACAGCCTTTTACGACGCGCAATGCGTGTCGTAAAACGATCAGACGACACGCAAATGCGTGTCAAGGAAGGCTCTGTCATAACGAAAGACAACACGCTTTTGTGCGGCGTCTATTTACGAAGCGCATTTACGACACGCAATGCGTATCAAGGAAGGCTCTGTCATAAAGGAAGATGACACGCATTTGCGTGTCATAACCTTACGACGCGCGTTTAGAACACGCATTGCGTATCATTAAAGCCCCTGTTATAAATGAAGATGACACGCATTTGTGTGTCATAAACTTCAACAACCATTTACGATATGCATATATGATGTGCCTTTACGATACTTATTTACGCATAATACAAAAATATAGAAACAAATATATGCCAAAACAATCAATTTCATCCAATAACATCATGTCAAAAAATTGTAATACATTGATATTAAGGGGATCTTATTGTACATTGTTAGTAAGAGGTTTTCCCTAACTATATAACCAAATCAACAGCCCACCTCTGTATTTAAATTTTAAAATAAAATCAAGAGTTATGAATCATAAAACTAAAAGGTAAGCACTTAAAGTTGAAACATTTTATTAATACATACAGTGACAAGATTAACATCAGCCATATTAGCACCCAAGCATTCTCATCTCTGATCTTTTGTTGTTTTGGCTCTAGGATTCTTCATTAACAACTCCATTATCATCAGACTCAGAAGAAATGGTTGAATTAGACTCATTCCCATCTCCTTCAGCGTCTGCAGTTGGTTTAATGATAGTTTAAATGATAAAATATATATCATTCAGTTTGATTTACAGAAAATGTACCAGGTTTGAATAAGGCACCAAGTATGACATGTCATAGTAATAGTCGCCATCACCAAGTTTAGCCTCCATCACCAAGGTGCCTTCATTATTGCAACTTTGACAGTATTTTTATTGGCTTTAAATAAAACTTAACCCAGATTTCAATTTCTACCATAAAAAATATCCAATATCCTGGTACAAAATCAAAATATGTTGAAAACAATTTCAGTCTTTAAAAACCAAAATATCGATCAATCCAAAAGTACTTGACAACTTAATCAAGGTTTCTTCGACTTGCCACTAGTTGCCAATTGAGATTCAGCTTGAAAATATAACAAACTACAAATAAGCATATACTATCAAAAAGATTTATAAAACACCATGTAGATTAAAATTTAAATATTTCCTCCTTTTTCACTGGTTCTTCCTTCTCAGATAAAGTCAACTAAATATGGCAAGGTGATGACATATAGGCTAGAAACATAAACAACATTGTTCCCAATCAATTTTTGTTTTTATATAAAAATAAAAATAAAAAGTAAAAAAACTTAAGGTTGATTCTCCCATGGGCACGGTAAGTTCTCCTTCTTTGTTTTTGTGCTTGGTTGACTTGTATATGAGAAATGAAAAGGGCATCCACATCTAACCCTTTCACCTACAAGGTTAAGGTTTTGTTATTTTTTATTTATTTTTCAAGAAATCACTTAATGAAAGAATAAAAAAGGAAGCAATTACATACCTCAGCATTGCTTTCAGCATTCTTGAGCAAATCCAAAATGAACTTTGCTGACTTGGCAGGCCACCTACCTTGACCATTGGAATGTCTGTTTTTAGCCTGAGTTGTACGACCAACACCCCTACAAAATCGGATGAAGGGAATAGCCTGTTTATGGATCAGAACATCTTCCAAATACCTCTTAGCCTTTATTAAAGGCATTTTCCTGAGAGCATGTGTTGTTTCTCTCGTATTCTGGGAAATTTAAAAAAATAACATTACATGAGAAAGTCAGTTGATGTATTATTACAACACATGAAATAAACAATTAATACCTTGAAGTGACATCTGAGATCTGAACCCCTGGCCTTGCAGGCTGCAATATAGGTAGCAACATTCATGCATGTAAGAACAAAACCATCATTTTCTTTTTAATTGAAAAAAAGAAACAACACCATCTTTTTCTTTTTAATGCAAAAAGAATGAGTCAATGGAGAGGAAAAAGGATTTTCCCCTGACTTTTTTGTTTCCAATCCATCATTTCCTTCAATATTTTTTAAAAATCATTAATATGAAGAAAAAAAAAGTGTTGTTGTTAGTTGTTACTGAGCAAGATGAAGATGATAGTATGTATATGATGAAGGCAACAGGTTTGATAATGATGGGTCAACGGCAATAAATGGCTTGATCAATTAGTGGAGGAATTTGTTTAATTTCGGTTCCAAGCTCCTGCTCAATCCGATACCTGTAGCATTAATAAATAGCCATGAAACCACGGAGTTAGAAAGATAGGGGTAAATCTGGTAATGCTAATTAATATTATCAGGAGGAAGACTTACAGGTTAAATCTGTCTTCAAAGGTTATCAAATTCACAGCCAACCCGAGATGCCCAAACCTTCCGGAACGACCCACTATAATTTAATTATAATCAATCAATCACAGGGTAACACACTTGATACTTCACTCTCTATCAACATTCACACAAAGAATAAACAAGGTTGATAGCAGATAGATGATAGTATAATATGAACCTTTAAACCATCAAGACCATTTGCATCTGCATGTCTACAGTATTAGATAATAGATAATTATGTATTTAGTTGTTTACAATAATCTTGTATTTATCCTATTCCATAGATATAGGAGTATTTGTTGTATTCTCTTATTATAAAAACAATACATGTCACACGTCCTTTGTGTGGTTAATTTAATAAATCTTATATGGTATCAAATAACGTGTCTCACACAACTCCAAATACTGGTAATATGCATGTCACCTTTGGTAATGGTCATAAGCTTCCTGTTTCTCATATTGGTCAATCCATTCTCCCTAATAAACTGTTACTACGCGATGTTTTGGTCATTCCGCATTTAACAAAAAATTCTTTCTATTAGCCAACTTACAAAGGATCAACCGGTGGATGTCTTATTTTCTCAACCATTTTTTACTATTCAGGACAGGGTAAGCAAACAAGTGATAGCACGAGGTCTGTGTGAAGATGGATTATACGTACTCAAGAATGAACCCACAGCTTTGACTGCAGTTGTTGGATCTTCAAGGAAAGCCTCTTTTGAGCTTTGGCATTCTCGTTTAGGACATATTTCTTTTGAAGTTATTTCTAGTTTACATAAGTTGGGTCTTTTATATGTTACTTCTTTGCTTCCAAAACCAGTTATTTGTAAACCTTGTCAACTCTCTAAGGGACAAAGATTATCTTTTGAGCTTAATCCTAAACGATCTTTACATCCATTAGATTTAATTCACAGCGATTTGTGGGGCCCTGCTCCTGTTGATTCTGGTGGCTATCATTACTATGTTGTTTTTGTGGATGACTACTCACGTTTTACATGGTTTTATCCTTTAAAGACCAAATCTGGCTTTTACCCAGTTCTTGTTGCCTTTATCAAGCTAGTTCAAACACATTTTTCTCAAAAGATTAAATTCTTTCAAAGTGATGGAGGTACAGAGTTTGTTAACCACACGGTTCGTCAAATCTTTGAGGATAATGGGAGAGCTGAACGCAAACACAGGCATATTGTGGAAACAGGTCTTGCAATGTTATTTCATTCTCATGTACCTGCATCTTTTTGGGTGGATGCTTTTAGTTCTGCAACATTCATTATAAATCGTTTGCCTACCAAAGTTCTCGACCGTCGCTCACCTTTTGAGCTGCTTTACTCAAGACCTCCTAACTATGGTAATCTTCGAACTTTTGGCTGTCAAGTGTATCCGTATCTTCGGGATTATTCAGCTTACAAACCTGCACCAAGAAGCATACCATGTATTTTTATTGGTTATCATACTCAATACAAAGGGTATAAATGTCTCGACCCGACGACTTCTCGCATTTACATCACGAGACATGCTCGATTTGATGAAACTTCTTTCCCTTTTGCAAGCCAAATAACTCATCAAGATTTAACAAAACTTGATGTTCATACTTTTCTTGAAGATGGTATCGTCACTACATCATCATCGGTCTCGATGGGCCCTCATCTTCATCGAACACAATTACTTTTGTTGGCCCTTCTCCTACTGTTGCAACAGTTCAGCCCACTACTCCATGTGGCCTCTGCCAATCTGATTTATCATCCATGCCCAGCTCTACACCCGAACCAGGTCCATCTTCGGCTTCATCACTTCATGATGATTTCCCATCTGATGTTGAAGAGATTGCTCCTTCACTACCTGAACCAGGTTCATCGCATCCCATGACAACACGCTCCAAATCAGGTATTTTCAAAACTCGTCATCTACCAGATTTCGCTACTCTTGCTATGCACAGTGTTCATGCCTCCTTGTTAGCTGATCACGTACCTAGAGGCTTTAAAATAGCTGCCAAAAATCCTCACTGGATGCTTGCAATGACTAATGATATGGATGCTTTAAAACAAAATAATACTTGGTGTTTAGTCCCGATACCTCCCAATGCAAATGTTGTTGGTTCTAAATGGGTATATCGCACCGAATACAAAGCTGATGGTACTATTGAACGATTTAAAGCACGTCTAGTTGCACAAGGTTTTACTCAAGTTCCTGGAATAGACTACTCTCATACCTTCAGCCCTGTTGTCAAAGCCTCAACTGTGCGTATTGTTCTCTCTCTTGTTGTCCTACATCAATGGCGTCTACACCAATTAGACGTTAAAAATACCTTTTTACATGGACGATTAACTGAGACTGTTTATATGGAGCAACCACCCGGGTTTGTAGATCCTCAATTCTCAAATCATGTTTGCAAATTATCCAAAGCTCTTTATGGCCTAAAACAAGCTCCACGGGCTTGGTTTCATCGTCTAAGCTCCTTTCTACTATCAAATGGATTTTTCTGTAGCCGAGCATATACGTCCATGTTTATTTTTACTCGTGATTCGTGTATTTTATACTTGCTAGTTTACGTTGATGACTTGATTCTCACATGCAACAATGAATCAATCATCTCCTCCTTTATTGCTCGTCTTCATCAGACATTTGCTATTAAAGATTTGGGTGATCTAAATTATTTTCCGGGCTTAGAAGTTTTGTATACTTCAGATGGGCTCTTTCTTAGTCAAGCTAAATATGCCAAAGATATCCTCACAAGGGCTGACTTACTTGACTCCAAACCTACTCCATTGCCTACGCATGAGATTTTTCAATCTCAAGGTGTGCCTTTCTCCGATCCGACTCTCTATCGATCTTTGGTGGGTGCTCTTCAATATTTGACCATCACTAGACCCGATCTTTCATATGCAATCAACCAGAAAAGTCAATATCTACATGCTCCTACTAATGATCATTTTCAGTTAGTCAAGCGTATCTTATGCTATGTCAAAGGCACACTTTCCTTTGGGCTCACATTTAAACGTCCCCATTCCAATCACATCTTGGGCTACTCGGATGCTGATTGGGCTCGATGCATTGAAACGAGACGATCTACTTATGTTTATTCTATTTTTCTTGGTGGAAACTTTATCTCATGGAGTTCTAAGAAGCAACCAACTGTCTCCAGGTCTAGTTGTGAGTCTGAGTATAGAGCTATTGCCAACGCTGCTGCAGAAATCATATGGATTACACATCTTTTGCATGAGCTTCATGCCCTACCTCCGGGCATTCCCACTTTATTGTGTGACAATAAAAGTGCACTTTTTCTGACTTAAAATCCAGTCTCTCATAAGCGTGCAAAACACATTGATTTAGAGTACCACTTTGTTAGAGAACTTGTTGCTTCTGGTAAACTTCACACCAAGTATGTCTCCACCAATCTCCAGGTTGCCGACATCTTTACCAAGAGTCTTCCACGTCCTCTTTTTTGAGAGATTTTGAGCCATGTTTTGTCTTGTTCCACCACCTGTTCGCTTGAGGGTGGGTTTTAGATAATAGATAATTATGTATTTAGTTGTTTACAATAATCTTGTATTTATCCTATTCCATAGATATAGGAGTATTTGTTGTATTCTCTTATTATAAAAACAATACATGTCACACGTCCTTTGTGTGGTTAATTTAATAAATCTTATATACAGCCTGTCCGATATAAACACAAACAAGAATCACTGATTATTCATTTGATTTTAGCATTCATATAATGTTATGGATGTAGAGCATACTTGTTAGGAATTGTTGATGAGCAGCAACCAGGAGTGGAAGAGGAAATATAAGTGACTTGGCTGTGTCTAAAACAGTCCCCTGTAATACACAAAATTTAATTTGGAAAAACTAAGATGTCAGTTCCTTCTATGTAAGATAGAAACATTGGATTCAGGTAAGTTACCAAATCTTGAACTGAAGTGTTAAGGAAATCATCCTTGATTTTCTTTCCCTGTAATAGATAGGGGATGTAATTCTTGAAAATCCTACATATTTGAAAGGAAGAAAGTTACCTAATGTATAATAAAAGATCAAAGTTTATATAAGGTTTGAAATTCTTTAACATCAACTATGAAACTACTTAAAAACAAAAATGAGTTCGGATGATAACACTTACTGAATCTACCATGAGTTTCCTGCAGCATTTGATATAATATCCAAGGATGAATCCCAGCTTGAACGCCAAGAGAAATGGCCTCCACAGAAGAAACAAAATGAATGCCTTTAAGCAACTCAATTACCATGTTGGATTTTAACCTAGATACAATGGAGACCTTTGAAACTTGTGTATGATCATGATATACGTCTCGCCAAAATGCCAGTGAACTGTAACTTTAAAGTTTTGAGAGAGATTGTAAGCAAAAGGTTTCCATCTTCCAAGTCTGTTTTGATAAAATACAAAGATGATGATGGCGATTTGGTGACTATAACTTGTACCCGTGAGCTCAGATTAGTTGAATCGATTGCAGATGGCCTTGTGCTTCCAGATAAAGAACCCGATACCGAAAAATTCGACTTATTTGGGGTTTTGAAATTGCATATTGTCGAGG